CCTCACATTAAAATAATTATTTAGTGCAGCATTAAAATATTTTTAACTTCTTTAAATGTGCACTTAAGCTTACATGTCACATCTGACGATACTTGTAGCTGACGATGATATTATCAAAATTAACTTCCACAAAGTTTAATTACTTTTTGACATGTTAAAATTGTACCAAAATATATAATGACCTACTCGTTGAATACATGGCCTCTATTCGAGGGTGAAGATCACAAGACACAGGATTGGATCTGTATAAAACGTGAGAAAGCAATGCAGAGGAACATATTTTTAGATGACGGATCACTACGGGACTGGCACGTGCATTTTACAACAGAAAACGTGAGCACGTTTATTCTTATGAAGTTGGTCAGCAGAACTACAATATGGAAACCAGAAATGAAATATACAACAAATTAGAAAACATTTCTACTTCTATAATTAGCATAAATCTACTTAAAATTTTAAAACGAAATTAATCTACATCTAAGAACTGCACGTTTAAAAATTTCGTCTAAATCATTTTTACAAAAAAATATATGCTTCCGTTACACGTTGCAATTTGATAAAAAGTAGTTAATGAAGGGGGGTTAAAAATAATGTATCCTTGGTTATGTTTGTTTAGATAGCAGTAAGTTATAATTAATCAATGCAATATATGTGTGTCGTTTATTTAATAAGTGAGACCTTCATGTCGTGTCGTCATCACCCGGAAATTGCTGTGTGGCAGTAGTACGCTGTTACAATTTTCCGAAGTAGGAAGTATGAATTCACAGCGGCCAAGGCGATGTTAAATTATTATACACAATCATTTTGTTATATAGGTATTACCTGATGTTACGAAGGTTACCACAAATGTTACCTAAATACCACTGGATCTTCTATTTGCAACAAACACAACACATCTGCATATTCTTTGAAATTAATTACAATAAAAAAATGCAATAGGTGTCAATGTGTATCGTATCTTTTTGCAATCTTTTTAAATGTTTTTTTATTGTTTTCTCACTTTTAAGTTTTAGTTCACATTTGATCCTTGATCTTTGGAGAATTAAGTATGTGTTCACAAGTAATTTTATTAATCTCTATTAAAATAAAATATATATCAGAATTTTGAATACCTCTAGGATAAAAATAATACGATAAGTAAAACTTGAAAGATAAAATTTATATTGTGTAAACTGTGTAGGTATTATATTTATAGAATTTGTATTTTGTGTTGTATAACGTATTGCATAGTAGATACGACAAAGAAGTGCAAATCGATGGCGGAAAACTGAGTCTATTATTCTGTTGAATTATCTTTTCTTTTTTTCTGTGATCTAACTACCTAGATGAAATGGCATTTTGGAAATAGTGAAAATTAAATCAGTTATTTAGATCAAAAGCGGTTAAGGTGCAGTAGATTATTATATGCTTAAATACAAAATGTTTTGTAATACGTACTTATATGTAAGTATGAATGCCCTTTTATTGACTGTTCTCATTCTGAATTGCCAACTAGTCAAATAAAATACTTTTTCCGAACTGTCAAAAACGACAGTTTTCTATGACTTTTGTACGAGATTGTGTCCTGTGACGTCACATTTTTTTGGCGTCAAAGAGATACTTGTTTCTTAAAAAAATGCTGGAAATATACTAAAAAAAGTTAGTCATAAAGCCAATTAATGAAAGTGTGATTATGTTTTAATATATTATTGTATTGAACAGTCGAAATAATTTATTTATGTTTAAGGAAAGTACCCAATTTTGTAAATAAGTAACCTTTCATGTCATGTTTAAAATATTTTTGGAGACATTTGAATTTTCCACTGCGCATATGAAAATTTTAAACAATATGGACAAACAGAGAACTGCTTTCATTTGCTTTTTGGGTCACGTTCAAGATGAAAAACAGATTATTAACATTAAAAAGTTGAAGAAAAACATATAAGTTATTTAAATTTAGTCTACGATCTATTTATACGTGTTGCTTATGTAAATAGTTATACTTACTGAATGTAATATTTTCTTGTCTATTTTAAAAATAAACAGAGCTACGAGTTTTGATTCTATTTATTTATTTTTTGTAACAATTGTGGTCGATTCCATCGTACATAACATTAAAAAAACCTATCGCACACACCTTTTGATCCCCGAAAGATAGGTTGCAAAACCATTTTCTAAATTATTATCATCATCATCACGCCTTTTATCAGTAGGCAGAAGTTCACATTATGACACTTAATGCCACTGTACAAAACACCCACTTTTTTACTATTTATAAGTCTTATGTAATAGGGGGAGAGCCTATTGCCATATACCGGGAACAATTGCAGACTCCGTGCTACTACTAGGATTTTTTTAAAAAAACCCTAGCAATACTTTGCCCCAACCGGGAATCGAACCCGAGATCGGACTTGCGACTACTCGGCCAACGAGGCAGTCTAATTCAAACTGTGTTATTAACAGTAATAATTAATTCAAACCTTTAATACTTTTTCTGATTCGAACGGTGTGTATGGTTGCAGGTGCAATTCCATATTAAACAAACACAAAAAAAATATGTTTTGCATTCGTATTCTCAGTAACAGCAATAGAAATGGAAATATGGGCGAAGATAATATCAAAATGCACTTCAACAATCCTTCACAGACGTAGGAACTGAGTTACTGACCTTCACAACGCATATCATTTAGAGATTCAGTGACAAAAAGGTCAGTCGAATAATGATTTTGTTGTAATTGATGTATTATGTTATATGTAGATATAGATCTGATGACAAAGGTGACTCAGAATCAATACTGATCCATACAGCTGATCAAGGTCCTTGGATTAAGTTTATTCCCTTTTTATACTACTTTGACTGTTTTATTGAATGAGTGACTGCAGGCTACGAATCATGCATGAGGTATCTGACTTGATTCCCGGATCGGACAGCGTACTATTGGGAGGTTTTCGAATTTGCGAAAATTTTGCAATAAGAACACGGTGCAGTGTCTGAAATTGTAACCAGTGAATGGCAATATGCTCATCCCCTGTTACATGTATATTGGTGAGAAATAACATACTTTCGGTGATTAGAATGGCATGGTAAGTAGCACCCATTGAATTAAACACCATCTTTTAGTCTGTTTTGTTTAGCTAACAGGTAAGTAGCATTTAATAAATATACACACAATGAAACTGGCATCTGTTTCATTGTGTGTATATTTATTACCTATTATTTTTGTCTAATCTTTATATATATTTTCTGATACAAGTATGTTCTTAACTGGTGACATATGTAAAGCCAATTTGTTAACCTTTAAAATCAAGAGCATTATGTTGTAAAAATAATATTTTGTTAAAGTTATAGAGGGTTCAATAAAACGAACGCCAGTGGCTCCGTTGTTCCCAAGTCTATAACTTCAACTTTGCGTCTGTTATGTTATCAGCCTCTTCATAAGAGATTACAAGTATTATCATATCAAAAATTCTGTATGGATATCAGACTGCATGGCTTTTTTTTACAATTGAAAATCCCACCATTACCTATTTCGCTCGGTTTGGCGATGAAATCCGAGATCCCGTGCCCAGTAGCTTTACTACCACAGGGTGATCAAAGCAAATTTGTATTTGTCATTTTTTTAATACAGTGTTCATATTGAACATTAATTAATTTGCAACAAATAAAGATTAGATAGTCAAATGTTCAATATTTCAAATACTTCAGATAGCGAATCAATACATTTTCAATTTCTATAATTTATTTTTATGTAATTTGTGCGTGCTACTAATTGTATTTAATCTGTTGGACATCAATAACAAATATTTGTATTGCCTTCGTAATAAATTCAGCCAGATTTTGCTCCTAAGGGATTAGAGGTGGCATATTTTCCGATTTTTTATGTTTAGATCATATGTCACGGCATTTTGATGATTTTCGTATATAACGAATATCATACGCAGAATTTTGGAACGCAAAAAGATATAACATTACCCAACCTTATCAACCTGATGGCCACGTGCTGTGAAGACTCGTACTTGCAACTACTAGCAATAGGGCCGTTAATAATTGCATAATGTAGAATACACATACATAGCATACATAAAGTAGAATACAAATAATTAAGATCAAGCTTTATTTTTAAAAACACTTTCAAACGATGCATCGCAGTACAACGCTTCAAGGCCCCTCTAGTAGGCATTTCTTCTTTCAATGCCGGTATGCGAAGGACAAGAAAATCTTTAAAAGCCTATTCGTAGTAAATTTACTGTAGTAACCAAATTATTTACATCTTAGTACAGCACTATAGCGCCTCTTTATTTATGACATAATAGATTTATAAGTAGATACATAAGAGAATCTTTTAAAGAAAAGAATTCAGTTTTTATTTTACATTTTCTCTATTGGAAGACTTGTTGGAGGAGTGACGTAGTATATTTTTATGCTGGTGGACTACAGTATTAGATGACCTATTCAAAAGGATTATCTTAAATTCCACGCAGTTAGAGACCTGGTGCAATAAATGGCGATTCTCTTAGAATATGACATGTTATTATAAGATATAATAAAACAATAATCTATGCGCATTAACCACATTGAACGTAGGTAAACATGAAACATTTTAATGTATCTTCCGCTACAGACTTGTTTTCAACTATCCAAGGTCAAAGGTGAATGAAAATTCTATAATTCTATAAAAAAATCCGTAAACAAGACAATCATAATTATTTACTTTTAATTGTCTTCTAGACAATGTTTAATATTTACATTTTGTATGCTTGCTACGAAATTGTTACGCAAGTTTCAGTCAAAATAAAATTAAACTGTTAACTACGTGAATTTACACTATACTTGCTCTAATATGTATGAGTACCTATGTATGCAATATTTACTTACTTACGTATTTATCGCTGTTCGCTGCCAGTTATTTTGGTTTGTCTAAAAGATCGTGTTTATTACTGGTTATAGCATTTTACACGACGTAGTTCTTCCATCATATATTAACTTATTAACAGTTCTTAGAAATTAATGGATTACTTACCTAAATCTGGAATGGAACTTGAGGGTTCTTCGAAGGACGGAGGCTTGTGGAGACGCGGTGGTGGCGGCGGGGGTGGTGGCGGTGGCGGGCGCATGCACTGGATCACCGAGTGTGTGGGAGCCATGCTGGGCGCCGCCAGCAGCACGGGCGCGCGGAACTCCTTGCCTGGCGGAGCCGGCAGCTCCAGCCTCCTAGCGCCAGGAAGCATCTCCGATTCGTAAATTACGTCCATCGGCTCGCGTTTAGGAGACAACTTTGGAAAACACTGCATCGTTCCTTAAATACTGATAAGTCACTACGTCTAAAATTGTCTTTTATAGTCTCGGAAAATCTACCGGCTACTATAAAACTATCAATTTCTTCACTAAAATATCAAAAGTAAATAAACATGCAATACGGAAATCTTCTTATAGTTGGGACATTTCAGCGCATTGTTTACGTGGATCGTAAGCGAGTTGAAGGGCAAGTGTAGCGGCCGGGCGCCGTAGTTCGAGCGCGGTATCGTGCGTGCGCGACGCGCCGCTCGACTCGCGAGACTCGTTCGCTCGCCGCGGCCAACTTTCTCTCACTGGCGTGGCGGGCGGTCGCAGCCGGACGAAAGTGAATCTGCAGCGTGCGCCCCTCGCCCTCTCCCGCCCTCAGGTGTCCCTGCACCGCCCGCCCAGCGCCGCCGCCGCCGACACTGCCGCTGCAACGCCCATCCGACATCAACTTTAACCTTAACTCTGACCTTTACGGGAGTGCACTGCACTCACACTACACCTTACTCAAATTCGCAAATAATTTATCGTAAATATTAACGCAAATACAAATTTATACCCTCACAAAGCGATTTAATAATTAATTAAGTAAATATAACTAATTGCGATGATATAAAAGTGTCCTTGTCACTTTGACACTGAACGCCAAATATAAATCAGAGACCGTAGCGTGGTATGATTCAAGTTTTTGTTACATACGAATTAATTAAGGTGCATGTGCCCTTGAACTTGACGATGGTGACGCAAGTAACAACGAGGCTAACATTCAATTATTTAACTTGCAATCGTATATAGGACCTGTCTGGTTAATTTATTTGTTTCGTATATTTGTTTATTAGAGAGTAAACTGAACTGCGATTGATTAACGGAAGTATTGAATAAATGTAGGTTGTCATCATAATATTGATACTGAATGTTGTTGGCCTCCATGGATTAAAGTAGATGTATTAAATGCAACAATCAGGTGTTCTAAAAATACTCTAGCTATTAATATTAACGCAATCATCAAGAAACGCTCACTTTTATTCGATCAAAAACCTGACTTTTTTATTTTTTTTTTATTTTACCACTTTATGTACAAATGTGTGTTCAATGGCGGGCTTAATGTCTGATGGAATTTCTCTACCAGTCAATCATACTAATTATATTATTTTTTAATTATTAAACACAATATATCCTTGGTAAGGAGAATTTAATTGATATATACGAATGTATCTACTTACACAATGTGTATAATTATTTCGTAAGATGTTATTATATCACACATAATTTGGATGTATATTGTAAATTCTTACACTAGTTCTTCTGTATTAACTAAGTAAAATCACGGGTTACTCACGTGAATATACTGAGAAAAGCTCTACTAGAAAAGCTCTACTACTACTAGTGAGCAGCGCGCGACGTCGCCGCGACCGAGCACGCTGCTCATGAGGAAGACCCCTCTGTGGTTCGAAACTAGTAGACCTTTTCTCAGTATATTCACGTGAGTAACCCGCGATTTTAGGTAATTTAGTATGTCTCACGATAGTTATTATGAAACATATCTTCTGTATTCTGGTTTCCTGGTGTAAGAATTTCCATTGTGAAATATTATTCAAAATACTCTTGTCTGCAACAGGTGACTAGTTGACTACTACAACTGTAGACAATTAAAATATAAAAACTAAAATTTAAAGTTCCTGTCGCTATCCACATTTAAAATTAAAAATCAATCACAACAATACAAGACCGGCAATTTCATTTGTACTTCACCAACATTCGTCCTCGACATTCCTTCGCAATTTTGTCACAAAGTCAAAGTATTCAACTCCTAAGTTGTAAACGGTATCTAAAATTAACCCGGTCAGTGTCAAAGCCTACAGATAAAACGTAATAGCTATTATCACTTCCGCAAAGGCAAGGAGTGATACAGAGTGCTCGATCGATGCTCACTGGACGAACGAGCACGCTCGCTGATAACTACTGATAACCATCTAATAGATAACACACCAACTGGACACGAGTATGAAGCTGTTTATGTGCTTTATAGAACTGTGTTTTATCGCCGATATAAGATAATACACGATTGTTTTATCATCTTGGTGACGTGCAAGATAAGGGATTTGTGAAGCTGATACAGCATGATGCTTCGTTGATTGTACCGCGAGTGCCATCAGTATGCATCTTTAATAGCTTTCTAAGAATATTTTATCGGTAACTCTCGTTATCTTCGCAGGTAGCGCACATTCAGATCTACCGTCAAGGCCAATTTTATTAACGTATCTTTTCATTGGCATTTTCCGGCATTTTCTTCACGTTTGTCAGAATTTTCTCGTTTATTCTAATTCGGAGTGGAGGGGACTACACATGGCTGAGTCTCAACGGAGAAGTTATTTTTAAAGAGTAGAAAAAGAGGTTTTCTTGGAAATAAGTCTGTAGTGTTTTTATTTACTGTAGATGATTGTTAATTTCCATTACTTTGTTTTTAAATATGTTATATTAATACACCCACTTATCGCAGGTTTTATCACTATTTTAGTTGTACGAATAAATGTTATTGTGACGACTCCATTTTCTATTTTCCATAGATTTTATCTTTGTTTACCTACCAAGGTGGCACAGTTTTTATCAGTATTCTTATCATGACTTTATTTAAATCGGCCCCCTGGACTTGAACTTGAATAATATTAAATTTATTATTTCAAACATAATCTAGTTAGATTTGATTCAAATATATTATTATAAAAACCATATTTTCTATCAATAAGTGGCTCCTAGCAAGTAACTTCGCAATAATTTTCCATTACGATCTGAAAATAAAACAATTCGATTTAAAAAGATTTCAGAGAGTATTATTGTATCTATATACGTACACCATAAAGTTATTACAGTATGCCTAAATACAAGTACGTGTGATATAAGAAAGTAACCACCAAAGTTGAGAGTAATAATTATGGTGATGCAAAACATTAAATTGTCGCGTCTAGACATTTCATGGGTATTAGGTAGTGTGCGTGGGTTGAACTCTAATTCCACGACACCACCTATGCTATAGCAAACCTATGTATGTCTACATCGTTTCAGCCCCTTCATTTTAATATAGGGGTGTACAGAATTGTATGTACCTTGTATGTGGTAGGTCCATACGCTTTTCACTAGTTGTATTTTAACTCCACATCAAGGACAACTTAAGGTCCATTGAGAAATAAAAATATAACATTCCTATTAACTTTATCCCATTGTGAACAAAACGTATATCACCATACTAAGAATATTTTTGTTGTTTCTTTTAAAAGCTTTTGATCTCCACTTACTTAAAATGTACATTTAGCTTATGATTTTGAAGGAAAATCCACGTAGCTACAAGACCCAGAATCAAAATTAATCCATGTGAACTGGGACAGACATTCGTTATACAAAGAAAACAAGGTGCATGTAGAAACGTTTCAATTTTCTCCAATTTAACAGAACATTTTGAAACATAAACATGAGAGGGCGGGGGTGGACGAGGGTGTAGTGGCATTAGGCGTGCGAGGTGGTGCTGGGGGTGGGGGGTGCGGTGCAGTCGCAGGGTGCGCCGAGGTCACTGCCACCGCCGCTCACGGCCGGATTCAGTTCGCGACTATTTTGGCGACAGTCTCACTGAACTCTAGCCGCCGTCATGCATCGAAACATTGACACTCGATAATAATGTACGGAATACCTGTTCTTTCGATCTTAATTACATGAAATCTAATTACTTTCAGCTCGTTAGGATTCAGTAGATACTGAAGTTTTGTTGAAGAAACAAGAAATATTACGCCAATTTTCTGAAAAAAAATTACAAAATAACAAATGTAATAATTAAATTTTATAAAAGTTATATAGGTAATCACCGATGTACCTTTTATAAAATTATCAAGTTCCGACGTGGAATACTTATAATATGCATATCTACATTTTTATAACTTACACAAAATTGATAATAATATTTAATACACCTATGACCTTAATTAGATTTCATTATATCTGTTTACGTAGACAGTAGATTACTTTCGCAGTCATGAGCACGTACGAATATTATAATGAACTTGAACGATTCCATCGACATAAAGAATCCGACAAACAGTAATAAAATTGTTTTATTTAAGTTTTCATTTGATGTTGCTAATGTTATTCTTGTGGTAGAGTAAATTTTATATGTATATCGTATGGGCAGACAGTCAGATTACTTTGTTTTATCGATAGCTTTTTATGGCTTAGTATGTTCGGGAGTGAAAGTTGGATGGCATGGAAGGGCACCAGGACACGGCGCGATGGGGTGCAGACTAGGGTGGCAGACACGGTAGCGACGCATGCGCGTGCAAGGACACGGCACTCCTGCCATGGCTTGCGCTCACACCGACCACAGACAACAAAGCATCTTCATATAATTCACAACAATTAAAATTCATTGTCATTTGCTTTAGTTATAAATATCATAGCATTATTATTTTTACGATCTATACTTCATTTCCTGACAACATTTAGTAATTTTAGAAACTAGTCCAAATATAAAATTAAAAGAATTATTGAAATTTAAATTACAAGATGTGAAGTGGTGGCTCATAAAAATTAATGTTGTCATATATTGTTGGCATATAGGAATGGTTGCGTTTGTTTCTCAATTAAAATGAAATTTTTATTTATTTTGACAATCTATTAGTACTGACAAATAATCATGTGCTTACGTTCACGCCTGTAATTGTATGATTGAGATAATAATATTTCATTAATTAATGCGCAACAAATACGGTTTTTGCCTTTTTGGGGTATCTTTGCTTTTTATGAATTTTTAATATAAGTGTCATGAAGACACATTATTCAGGATTGGCAAAGCTTTATTTTAATGTTGGTAACTGTCACTCTTTTAAAAAACTCTTTTCCTTCAGATCACATTTAGAGATTTTTAAAAAAAATATGTAAAACACATAACTTGCAAAAATCATCGACAGTTCCAGAACAGTCTAAAGCTCTTCTAACGTTTTGAGATAAAGAGTTAAACATATTTAGATTTGTGTCAAATTTTACGATATGAAGAAATAACTAAAAAAAGATTTATTTCTTAGATTACAAAAGGAATTATCTTATCTTCACGCTATTATGTGCTAAACGCGAAGCAATATCAAGGCTAGATGCACTACCTGGGACCACGTGTAACCTACTCTTTACGATAACAATATTACAAGCGGAATTTACTTATAGTCTAAAGGTATATGTACTTTTGA